GGCTGCTGCAGAAGTTGCACAAGTTGCACAGCCCCGCGGGCAGCAGGGTCCTTCCTCCTCAAAGCCCTGGACAGAAGATCAAATGCCCAGGCCTGAGGCCGGGCGATCAGGGGTGCACCTTCTGCAGCGGGAGCCGCTGGGTCTTTTGCAAATTCACCCTAGAAGAAAAGCTGCAGACACTTGCAAAAGGAAAGGGCTGAGTGGAGGGGGAAAGCACTGGACTCCCTCCCACCCCAAAGGAAACGACAATCAAAACACACTCACACCCACACACACACAGACACACAGGCGCGCGCACACACACAAGAAAGAAAGAAAAAAAAAACAAAGCAAAAGAAACATTGAGGGCAGAAAACCATCTGAACTTACCACACTGCGGGTGAATTTTTCTAGGGAAGTTCTACGACCTTGCTCACTTTCTGGCTTTAGGAAAAAAAAAAAAGGTAGGGAGAAAAATACAGAAAAAAAAAATCTTCAGCTTACATGTGGTTTCCAAACATCAGCAGCTGCAGCTAAAGAAGAAGAAAAACAAAAGCAAAATGGGGCAGAAAAAAATGGGAAAAGAGAAGCAGCCAGAGGTGTTGGCAGAGTGGATGGGAGCAACGGAAGAAAGGAGGCCAGGGGAGATGGTGGCCTCCAGGGAGCAGGAGCAGAGGGCAGAGTTTGCTTCTCCAGGGCCCTTGAAGCACTGCAGGGCTTAGGTGAGGAGCCACCATGGCTTTGCATGGGACCACTGCTGAGGTTTTGAGTGCCTGGTTCACCACTTTCAACTGGCCCTGCCCTTAGGCAGGGGTCCTGGTCGTTCTGGCCATGTGTCCCTGGGTGGCCATCTGGGGGGTCTAAGTGGTGACACAGAACAGACTAGCTCAGAGGGCCATGTGGTGTCAGGGCGATGCTGATGGTGGGGTAGGAAGTGGCCACTGGGGAAGTGAAGTCATCTACTCAGCCACTTGTCTGGTTAGGACTGCTTTCTCTCTTGAGATTTCCCTGCCCAGAGGCAGCCAGAAAGTTTGCTAGCATCACTGACTTCCTAATGACCCTCATTCTGCATCCTTAGAGCAAGGAGGGTCTATCTTGTCCTCTACAATGATAAAGGGTCTTCAGCCTTGGAAGACAATAACATGGGGATTGTTCTAAACAGAAAATGCTCTCTCAGTGTCCAAGCAGGTGACACCTTCCCAGGTGTACTCAGGCAGGCTGGAGGTGGCTCAGGAAGCTCATGGGGAACTCTCACCAGAGGGGGCAAAGCCCTGACACATTCTCTGGGGCCTACCTGTCTCTGCCACTGGAGGGAGGGAGATGTGGTGTGCTCCTGACTTCGGGCAGCATTTCCCACCTGCAGGGGTCCTGGGAGAGTAGAATGACACCCAGATACCTGTGCCTTTATCCTGAAGCCCTGTTCCAGGGTTCTGAGCCTGAGGCTGGGAGATTCGAAGAGTACACACACTCACATAGACACAGACACACACACTCAGCAAATAACTGAAATAGGGGAGCTGAAGAGGCAGCCAGGTGTCTGGAGGTCTGCTGAAAGCAGGGAGTGCAGGCTGGAGGCAGCCATCGTCTGCGTCTGCGGGGAGGAGATGGGAGGCTTCTTTGGCCCCGCCTCCCACCCACACCACCTCCATCAGCTCAGCCAGCTGTCAGGGCAGGTATGAGGTTGCAGAAGGAAAACACAACACAAAGGACACACTGCCACAGAGTTGGGCTGGGCTTTCTTCTTGCACAAGGAACCGAAGGATCCATGTTTGGCCATGGGTCCCATGACAAGTCTCCATTCTGGGGACGGCAGGACTCTACCTTAATCCTATGACTGCCCAAGAGCTAAACACTGGGCTCCAGTGGGGCCGGTCCCAGCCCCTGAAATCTGTGCTTATCATTCTTGGGCTCTGGCTGCAGACCTGCTCACAGCTGGGAGCCACTGCCCTGACTCATTCAGGTCCTTTGCTTTGCACAAGCCATCAAACTGCACTGGAAAACCATCCTCATTGGTACTTAATTGTCCTGGAGTAGACCTCAAACCCAACTCATCTGCCTCTGGAGAACCTGGCTTTTCAGAGTGACTATCCTTTATTTTGGAAATATTAGGAAAAAGGATAAATTAGGGATGAAGGATCAGAAAGCTGTGTGTCCAGACTCCATTTGGGGGCAGAACCCTGCAGAGAAGTGAAGCTGATTGTACTCTCTCTCAGCTGGAGGTTGGTTGTGAATCTCACATACTTTTCAGCCTGGACATTGATACCACACGCCAAGTCTGTCCCTGAAGTCAGAAAATACTCTAAGCCTACCTGAAAGTGTCGAGTTACACATCAGGTCCATACCTGGAGACTTTTGGGAAGAAATGGAAGGAGAGAGCAGGTTTTGTCACTGTTTTGGGGAACAACTCCTCCATGTTGCAAGGTTGATGGTTATTGCAAGGGCTTGCTGCCTTGAGAACAACGCTTAATTCAGGGCCTGAGAGGATAATTCTAGTGAACGTCATTTGTAACATTATGCAGGAAGGCTGTCCATTCTTACCCCCTCAAATAACCTCCTTTGGGAAGTTTTCCTCTTGTAAGGGAGGATTGGGAAGCACAGATCTCTCAGCCCACTTTCTGGCTTGAGGTGCATTTTCCCTTGTGTTCAGACAGACCGAACCAACTCTGACTTCTAGTTTAGGTGTGTAGATGGACCCAGCTCGGTCAAATTGCTGACGCCTTAGAATGTCCACAAATTATGATCAGGTCAGGTGTCTTGAGCAACAGGAAATAAAGGAAACTTACTCTGACCTTCTCCCATGTGATATGGGCTGGGGTATCAAAAGTCTCTATAACCTTTTTCTTTTCCCTGGTTCTTAAAAAACTGAGCATCAGAGCCATTTGTGGGGGTGTCAGTGCCCTCTATCAGAGGCCCTCCATGGATCTCCTCCAGCGAGGGAGGTGGCAGGAAGCCGGGCTTTGCGATCTCTATCCTAGTCGCTACCCCTGACAGGAGGGCTGCAGAAGTGAAGAGAGCTGGGCTTCTAGAAATCTGGACATTCTAGAGGTCCTTTCCCCTTTCTCAGACTATTAGGGCTCTTCTCAGGGCTACATATGGGTAGGAGAGTGGGACACAAATGCTCCCCCAGACTCTGGAGTTGTGTGCACCCAACCAGATACGCAGACAGGATCCTGGCACACAGGGGTGACAGTAAATAGAGGAGGCTTATGTGGCTTAGAGAGGCCAACAGAGGGGGTGTGGATGGAAAACCATGTGCCACAGCCTGGGCTGGGGAGGCTGGGAGGGGAGAATAAAGGGACACATGTGCTCCCAAATGGTATGGGATGGAAGCTATGGAGCCTGGTGCAAGTTGAGCCACACTGAACCACACATGAGCCTCACATCAGAGGTGAGAAGTACAGCAGGTAGGCAGGCATACTGGACCTGTGAGCTGTCTCTCTCTTGCCCCCTTCTCTTCCCTACTCTTCCGTTGCTTCTCCCAGAAACCCAGCTGAGTCTATCATTGCATCTGTCACCCCTCACCACCTGCATGAGAAGGGCCCTGCACTCTAAATCCCTGGACCCGCGGCAGAAGGGGACCTCTAAGTGGAGGAGGAAGAAGGAGCTGCGTGTAGTTACCTCTTGGTTAAGAGAAAAGGGAAATACCGTGGTGGGAGGTAAGGGAGAGGAAAGTCCTGGGATGGATGACTCTGGGCACTCTTAGTGCAGTCCCCTGTAAACTGACAAAGTTACCTGTCCAGTGAGAGGTCTGCCCCAATCTCTGCCTCACACACATCTGGGCTGGTCAGGGAGAGAAGTCTGCAGAGAGGGGGCTGGACTTTGCAGGGAGTGGTAGTCTCTGGTGTGGTAAGGGTTTTGCTGGTGCTCTAGCCAGCCTTGCACTCCTGTGGGTGGTCATACTCCCTGGACTGCCATGGGCAAAGCACACAGGCAGAGGCAGCAGGGACTTGAAGGCAGGAGGCCATATCCTGGACCTTGGGGAAGGGGTGGGGTGGTTGGTGACCATCCTAACTTTTTCCCATTGGAGTGGGAGCAGATAGAGGAGGGAAAGAAGAAAAGAGAAAATAAATAAAACCCAAGGGATGAGATTCTCATTTCACACCAGCAGCAGCAAGCAGCAGGCAGGAGTCAACAGAGCTAAGAAAGGCAAGCCTGCCCTTCCCAAAGATACCTTCTTCTTGGCCAGCAGCAAGTCCTGGTAGGCATTTGACCGGAGGAAGCGGGCATAGCTGTCACTTTTCATCAGCTTGTAGATGTGCTCCTGGGAGGACACAAGGAAGAGCTGTCAATCAGTGCTACAGGGTATTACAATCCTATTGATCACCAAGTGAGGAAAGAAGCAAAGGAATCTAGGTATGGTTGTATGGACCTGGAAAGACTTGCAACATGTTCCACCCCTGCCCCTCCTAACTCAGAAACCCCAAACAAAATATGTTTTCTTTCTTAGAGAAAAAAATCCTTAAGGATCATATCCCACAGGGTCTGTAATTGGGCCTGGGTGCTGAGTTGGGTACTTAATGATTAAAACCATAGGACATAGCAACAGAAGGAACAAATTATTGTTACACCCAAAAACTTGCATGAATCTTAAGGACATTGCTGATTGGAAAAGCCAATCCCCAGAAAACATACTATGAGATACTCTTTCTATGATATTCTTGAAATGTCAAATTATAGAAATAGAGAACAGATTAGTGGGCTAGGGATAGGGGAGGAATGGGAGGGAGGGAGGTATGCTTAGAAAAGGGAACAGGAAGGATCTTTGTGGTGATAAAAGGGCTCTGTGTCTTTACATATCTTCCACCATTGATGAAGTTATATAGAACTAAATGCACACACATGTATATGGCACAAACAAAATTGGGAAATATGAACAAAATCAGTAGATTGCAGCCACATCAATATTGGGGCTGTTATATTGTACCATAGTTTTACAAGATGTTTCCATTGGGGGAAACTGGGTAAATGGTACATCTCTGTATTATTTCTTGCAGCTACATGTAAATCTACAAGTATCTCAAAATAAAAAGTTTAATTTAAAAAAAAAAAAAACATAGGCAATGATGCAATTGGGTCAGGTTGTGCATTTCGGGGCCACCATCTCGTCGCAGAAGGGGGCTGTTGGCCACAAGCTCATGGCATGCGGGGCAGATAAGCCAGGCCTGCAGCTCACATCCAGAGGGCAGTGCCACCTCTTTTCCTGGGCTCCTCAAGGCATTTATGTTCTGGCCTTGGCAATGAATTTCACTCCTGACTTCTGGCTAATTCCTTGAGCCTTGTGGTTGCTGCTTAGTAGGTCTGTCCTCATCCAGACCCGGAAAATCCTGGTCTATTAAGTGAGAGAACTTGTCAGTGGGGAAAGGATTATTCATTCACTGAAGTGGATTCAGCTCAGCTGCACAGGGATGCTTGGCTGTCCCAAAGGGGACCTGTTAGAAGGGAGAGTGGGATCCTCAGTGTTCAGCCTGGTGGAGAAAGCATCATCCCTTTGAATGGTCATTGTTTATCACATGAAACCAGACGAAGGTCTCAGTGGTTGGGGGAATGGACAGCTGGTCAGCTGAGAGGTCATAAAGAACCTTTTCCTTGGCTTCTGTCCCTAAGGAGGATATTCAAGGAGGAAGCAGAGGCTGCCTATCAGCTGGGGGCACATTTTAGAGATGACTGGCCAGAGAAAGCTGGAGCAATGGCAAGGACTCACCAAGACTCTCTTCCTACCCAGCACAAAAGAAAGTTAAAGCACAATTGCCAAGATAGGGCATCAACCTAAATGTTCATCAGTGGATGAATGGATAAAGAAAATGTGGGGTGTGTGTGTGGATAAATATACATTCTTCATTGTCAAAAAATTGCTAATGACCATCTAAACCTTCAGCAAGTGATAATCTTTTTTTTCCTGGTGGAGGCTCTTGCCTTGATGTTGTTGGCTGCTGACCGATGAGGGTGGTGGTTGCTGAAGGTTGGTGTGGCTGTGCCAATTTCTTAAAATAATAAAATAAAGTTTGCCACATTGATTTACTCTTCCTTTCACTTAATATTTCTCTGTAGCATACAATACTTCTGATAGCATCACAGTAAAACTTCTTTCAAAATTAGAGTCAATCCTCTCAAACCCTTCTGCTGATTTATCAAATATGTTAGGGAATATTCTTTTTTTTTTTTTGAGACAGAGTCTTACTAGGTTGCCCTTGGTAGAATGCTGTGATGTCACAGCTCACAGCAACCTCCAACTCTTGGGCTTAAGTGATTCTCTTGCCTCAGCCTCCCAAGTAGCTGGGATGGCAGGTGCCCGCCACAATGCCTGGTTATTTTTTGGTTGCAGTCGTCATTGTTGTTTAGCAGGCCTGGGCCAGGCTTGAACCCAATCAGCTTTGGTGTATGTGGCCAGCGCCCTACTCACTGAGCTATAGGCGCTGGGCCATTAATGGAATATTCTAAATCCTATGGTGTCATTTCAACAATGTTCATGAAACCTTCATTAACAGTAGATTCCATCTCAAGAAAGCACTTTTCTTTATTCATCCACATCTAGCAACTCCTTTATCCATTAAGGTTTTATTGTGAGATTGCAGCAACTCAGCCTCAGCCTCGGGCTCCACTTCTCTCACTGTAGCACCCTCATTCCTTCCCTATTTCCACCACGTCTGCTCTTTCTTCCTCCATTGAAATAAAACTTCTCAAAGCCCAAAGCCATCCACAAGGGTTGAAATCAACTTCTTCTGAAATCCTATTAGTTTTGATACTTCAACCTCCGACCATGAATCATGAATGTTTTTAATGACTTCTAAGAATGGTTAATCTTTTACAGAAGGGTTTCAGTCTGCTTTTCACAGAGCCATCAGAGAAGTCACTATCTATGGCAGCTGCAGCCTTATGAAATGTATTTCTTAAACACTAAGACTTGAAAGCTGAAATCTCTCCTTGCTCCATGGGCTGCAGAATGGCTGATGTGCTAGCAGGCATGAAAACAACGTTAATCTCGGGTACATCTCCATCAGAGCTCTTGAGTGACTAAGTGCACTGTCAATGAATGTAGTATTTTGATATGAATGTAATATTTTAAAATAAAAAAAATTTTTCTGAGCAGTGGGTCTTGACAGGGGGCTTAAAATCTTCAGTAAGCCATATAAAGAGATACTCTGGGCTGCTAAGAGAGCTGTAAGATTTGCAGAATGGTAAATGATGCATTGGCTGAATTCAACTTAGGTCACCAGTGCATTAGCCTCTAACAAGACATCAGCTTCTCCTTGGAAGCTTTGAAGACAGGCAGATTCTCCCTCAGCACTTGCTGCTTCACCTTACATTTTTCTGTTATGGAGATGGCTCCTTTCATCAAATTTCATGAGCCAACCTCTGCCGGCTTCTAACTTGCCTTCTGCAGCTTCCTCAGCTCTCTCAGCCTTCATAGAACTAGAATCCACTTGCTGTGGATTAGGCTTTGACTTGAGAGAGCACTGTGGCTGGCTTGGTCCAGACCATTCAAACTTTCTCCCTGTCAGTAATGAGACACTTTCTCGTTTTCATCATTTGAGTGTTCACCGGAGTAGCACTTTTAACTTCCTTCAAGAACTTTCCTTTGCATTCACAACTTGGCCTAAACTGGTTGGCTCAAGAGCTCTAGCTTTTGGCTGATCTTAGCTTTCAACGTGCCTTCCTCACTAAAATTAATCATTTCCAGCTTTTGATTTAACATGAGAGATGTGTGACTGTTCCTCTCCCTGAATACTTACTGGCCTAATTTTAATATTGCTGTTGATCAGGGACTAGGGGGGCCCTCTAGAGAGAGGAAGAGAGATGGGGGAGTGGTCAGCTGGTGCTGGGAGAATGGGAACTGAAGACCCCATTCTTGGCAAAGGAAAGCACCCCCAGAAAAAGAGGAAAACTTCAAAATAGTAAGCTGAGTGAGTCTGAACAAAGAAAAGTCAGCTAGTTAATGTTTAAGCTGACCATTGCTAGCAAGCTTCTTGCCTGTTCTGAAATTCTAGCCTGTTGGGGATGCAGCTTACAAACACCCTGCAGGGTCTGTGAGCACTCTGAGGAGAATAATGGTCATAGACGAGGCTATGACAATGTCCTAGAAAAGATCCATCTTCTAGGGCATTTCCTGCCCATTAAACAGGCAAAGAACATACCCATTGTGGAGATTCACATTTGTCTGAGGCAGAGAGCAAGGGAGTAGCTGGAGCTCTGAGATATGGGCAGAAGAGCTTATGTCCCTTATTGCAGAGGAAAATCCTCTGTGATGGTGATGGGAGGAAAATGCCTCCCTCCCATGGATCCCTCAGACGAGATTAATGCTGGCGGAGTTTTACTCCACAGAGAACTAGTAGAGCTTAACACCTCCCTAGAAATCTGTGTGTGCGACCTCAAGCAGGAGGCTCTCCCAATCCAAGGCTCAGATTTCAGATTACTGAAGGCCACCTTCAAGGCTAATAATAATAACAATAGAAGCTGATATGATCAATCCAGGAAACTGCTGAGTCTTTGTCCCCTCCCTCATCTTACCCTCTGGGCAAATAGACTCCAATAAAAGCAGAGTGGAGAAACACTCGGGGCCATTGCTGGAATCCCATGACAGGCAATGGACCCCTCGCTCCTATTTTTAATTCTACTCTATGTCTCTTGTCTTTCTTTACCATTGCTCCTAACTTTATATTTCTTTAGTTGACCACTGCCAGCTTCCACTACCCACGCTGCTCTTGGAGTGGGACCCTGACAGGCTGGTGGATCAGTCAGAACACACAACATGTATCAGTTAAATCCATCCCCCCTAAATAATACAATAGGAACATAGAAGATCATTGATCATGGATCATCATAACAGATATAATAATAAAGTATAAAATATGGCAAGAATGACCAAAATGTGGCACTGAGACACTAAGTGAGCACATGCTGTTAGAAAAACGGCTCCCAGAGACTTGCTTGGGGCAAGTTTGTCACAAACCTTCAATTTGTAAAAACTGCAACATCTGTGAAACACAGTTAAGCCAAGTGCCATAGGTGTGCCTGTATGTGGCATCTGAAACAATCAGACTCATAGAGGAAGAGAGCAGAATGCTGGTGATCAGAGGTTGGATGGGTGGGGTGGAAGAACTGGAGAGATACTGGTCAAAGGAAACCACATCTCAGTGAGAGAAGAGAAATAAGTTCAAGAGATCTATTGCCCATTGTGGTGACTGTACGCTGTAGGTGAACCAAGATACTGTACGCTTCTCACTGCCGATGATAAACGTATGAGGCAGTGTGTATGTTAAGTAG